CTTGCCCCCGCCACGACGCGCTCGGATTAGCTGCAGCTGGCGCCCAGGGATTTGAATCTGGATCCCGGGAGGGAGCGCGCCTAGGCCAACCTCGGAGCGGCAGCCCGGCGGCCAACATGCTTCGCAAAGGTGAGTTGGAGCCGCAGGGGCAAGTTGGAGTCGGATGCGCACGCGGCAGAGCCGTGAGTCCAGGAGCCGTCCAAAGCCTAGGCTCCGGGTCCAGGAAGCAGCTCCTGGCGAGGTGGCTGGCTTTGTCGGACGCGCCCACCGAGGAGCTGCTGCTGGAGCTCAGCTCCCGTCGGTGGCCTGTGGCGAGATATGGGGTTTGCTCAAATGTCCAGGCCTAGGGTTCTGGTTTGAAGGGTCAGTCCGAAACCAGAATCAACGATCTGTGGTAAAAGGGGAGCTGGCCTCCTGGGACCTTCGCTTTGCCATTGCAAAGTTTTTGTACTTGCAGCCTCCAAACCCCGCGCGACGCATGCCTCTGCATAGGCTGCTTCGGCGAGGCCAGGTCCATCTGCGCTCCAGTGCAGCCAGCAGTCAGCCGCCGTGCGGCCGGGGCGCTCGCCTAGTGCTCCAGCTCTCCAGGGGAGACGGGATGCGAGCACCTTCCTAGCCTCCTGTTTTGTCCCTAGGGACGAACTCTGGGCGCCCAGTGACCGAGGGTGGGGAATAGCAAGCCCCCGAAGTCCGGTTCCTCAAACTTTCTTTATGCCCGGAGTGGAAGGACTTAAAGGCGAGGGCGGCGCGGGCGGGATGGGCGGCCAGTGCCAGCTCTAATTGAAGAGAGCTAGCTCCGCGACCGCTCCACCCAGACTCCCGGGCAGCCAGGTACCCAGCGCGACAAAGTTGACGCGGAAGCCGGGCAAGTCCTGCCGCGCCCCCACGTGGTTGTAGTGCGGGGTGCTGTCCCTCAGGGCAAGGGAGGGCGGGTGACCGCGACATCAGTCCGCGGAACTGATACACCGCTGTCCTTTGCTCGGCCTCTGCATCTGCTCCTTTCCGCTCCCAGGTCCCAGGGGCCTGTGGCACCCTGCCGGGACCCACCCTGGG